GCTGCAGTGGCCATTGATTCCCGACATGTGAAGTAGAGAGTGAAGGAGAACTCTTTGTTCTTTGCCCTGAACTTCTAAATAAGTGGAATAAGTGGATGATGATGATGATGATGATGATGATGATGATGATGATGATGATGATGATGATGATGATGATGATGATGATGATGATGGTAGGACATTGGGGAGGTGGAGGGGATTGTTGGGATGGGGTTGTTGATGTATATTTCTCTATCTCCCTGACAACCTCTTGAGCAAAGTGCACTTTTCTCCTAATCGTTATTCATTTGAATTGTTGTTTTCTTGAGACATTCGAGTTATTGTTCGTTTCTTATTTCCAATTTGTTTGTTGTTGGTTTGTTGTTGTTGTTTTTTGTTCCTTTTTTATTAGTTTGTTGTTGTTGGTTTTTAAAAACTTATTTGAATGATTACCATTTTGAAACTTGTGAATCAATGTTTTCTTAATTTAACACATCTGAATTACCGTTTTTCTCTACACAGGCCAAACTCTTAAGAAGAGGATGAGACTAAACAACGATTTTGATGAAGAGGAAGATTCTGGTATGGACGATTTTATCGATGACAATGAAGAGGGAGACGAGGTGAATGTGTCCAAGGAGATCAAGAGAATGTTTGGCTATGACAGAAGCAGGTAACTCTCAAGCTTGTCGAAATATTTTTCTACAGGACAGCCGTGATCTGATGAAACGCATTTTTTTTCATTTTGGCGAGAAAATTGTTTATTCCACTAATGAATTTTACCTGTCGAAAGCCATCTTGAGATATCAATATGAAAGCCTCACTGTGACTAGTTTTTGAATAAATTAGCATTTCAAATTTGTTTTAAAAAACACATTTATTTCCAATGTGATCTGAAGAAACACATTTTTTTCCAGCTAGTAAAATTGTTCACTTCGTGGTCGGCCTCTGTGGTGTAGTGGTTAGGTGCTTCGCAGTCACATGCAAGAGACCCGAGTACGATTCCCGAGTGGGGAGAGAATTTACTATCTGGTGTCTCGGACTTTTTGTTGGGATAATGTATCCCTCTCAGCTCGGGTTGGCGCAGGGTCGAAGCATGCCTCCATAAATTATCTAAATAGTGCCTATGGGAGAGAGAGAGAGAGAGAGAGAGAGAGAGAGAGAGAGA